TAAATCTATTATCAATTCCCTTCATCTAGTCTCTTAAATTGTTCTTCAAGTGTTGTAAGTAATACCCGTGGCGAGCCGATGGGAACACCTTCGGCATCGCTTCTAACAGACCAAGATTATGGTCCGAAATAAAAGTAATTTGAGGCTTACCATTAACAACCTTCCCAAGTTTGTACAAGAACCACGACCAATTAGTCATGGTCTCTGAATCAACAATCGCAAATGCAATAGGAAATAGACCTACAATACAACACCATTAAACAATTGTTCTCAATATTCCAATGTTAATAGTAACACAAGTAGTTTACAAAAACACTATAAAGGAAATAGGTTATGTGAATGTTTACACTGTGTAATGGTCTGTCATATGTCCACACTATGCCGCTCAATGTGAATATTTACATGAATACACAGCTAAAAAAAATACTAACCATTGTTTCCATCTTTCGCAGTTACCGCAAGTAGCTGACATTTGTACTTTCCTTCGAGGAATGTTCCATCTATGAATAATAAAGGCCGACAAGAATTGTACCCAGAAATACACGCAGCAAATGATACAAAAGAAATGAAAAAACTGTTGACTACTCGCATCATAGTCAATATTGACATAACTCCTCGGATTGTAACACATCACAGTATCCGAATACCACCGTAACTGATCAAACGATAATGAGTGATCTCCATGAATAACAGCCTTTGCTTTCTCCACGCCCAACCATAACACATGGTAACTCACATCTAGCCCATAATTCCTCTTCAAAATAGTCACCACCTCACACGGCCAAGTCAATGGCTTGTCCCTCATAGTTTCAGATATAGTACTTGACACCAAATCAGAACTAACTCTCAGATTCTTCAATGTTCGAACATCCGTACCACAACTATGCACATCACTGAACCTCTTGATGTAGAAAAAACCATTTGCTTGTTATGCTCTACAATGTATAGCCCACAAGCAGCCTCTCTCCTCGCGCATCGCATACACCACAGTAACCCTTGTTGTCTCATTCTTAACATATGTAAACTGAAACCCACATTAGATGGCATACTTACATAAAATATTATGAAATTCTTGTGCACCTCTAACAAACCGTTGTCCCGCATGCGTAATACCATTTGCCTAAGGGGTTGACAACAAGACCTTCTCCTTATGGTGGTAAAATCTCTGGAGTGCATCAATTTCTTCCTCACCCCCCACACGCAACGACCTAGAGCTACTTGACTGATCAATATCACTTTTCAACTTAACGACAACTTCTACATGTTGTACCCCCATTGATTTAGCAAGCAATAACATGTTCTGAAATTCTTCTTCATTGTTCAAATCACACCTATTAATCTTAGGTAGCTGACAGAACAATGAAATAGAACAAGCAGGCAACTCACCCCATTTTTCATACAAACACTTCACCAAACGCGAATAACATAATGCGCGGACAACATTTATTACAGTTATACTGCAACCATATGTGTACACCAACATCATAAAGGTATCCATCTCTTGTAAAAACACAATAATACAACAATCAACAACCACATTACAACTATACGAACAACAACATATACAATAATCCAAACGATGTGAAATTCACATTGTGCAAAATTAAATGCCTATGTGTACAATTCAATTGCTAAATCCATAATGAAAACTATCACCACTATCTTTACACAACATAAAACATTTTACAATATCAAAATGACACCACCAGAATAAGGTTGTACACAACATGTAATCAACCCTCCATAACTTCATATTAACAAGATGTGAACATTTACATTATTACATATACTCTAAATTATCTCGCCCACACAGAGTCTTATTAAGCAAGCATCAAAAGCTCACCAAACAAACACTTGCATCACCACATAAATCAAAACATAAAATAAAACGAACATACAAAGTATATACGTATATGTAAATTTTACACTGCCAAAACCAATCTCAAAATATCACCACCATCATTACAAATAAAATGTGAACATCCACATTCTTTACATAATCTAAATTACCTCCCCTCCATAGGGCCACGTAAAATGCATATAATTGAACAAATAAAGCATCCGATCCATATCAATAAAAAAACAGAGTATCTTATCCATCATATAAATCAAAACATAAACTAAACATGTATTCATATCCAAAATGATACTAACCTTAATCATGCAATCCTACACTCGTCTTGTAACTCGAAAACAACTAATTTCAACTAGTTATACTCCAGAAAATGTCACAACCAAACACTGTCCAATCCGTCGTCTTTACTCCAAAATCACCGAACCATACTACAACAGCAACAATGAAACCCTAGCACATCAAAGCCTTGAAACGAGCATACAAAATAGAAACGTATCTATCTGAATTAGAACAATGATCAAAAGCGTGAAGGTAAAAACTACCAAAATAGAATATACAAAAAAAAAAAAAGCGAACGTGGTATGTGTATCAACACCATATAATAGTTTATTTAAAAATATAAAATTAATAAAATGGACCTCATGAAATAAAAAGATAAGTACATTGGACTAATCAGGCTATAATAATCTTTTGTGGACCTAATGGGCTACAACAACTCTAAAATGGATTTATCAATAAGAATCTCTTCAAAAAACTACACGTTGCAATTTCAAATTTCCCTTCAAAATTTGAGAAAGAGGGCTAGTAGATATATTGACCAATTAAAAAAAAAATTGTCACATTCTGAAAAAGATTATGAAAAGTTGTCAAATTTGTCACATTCCAAAAATTTGTCAAATTTCCATCAAAGATCAAATTTCCCTCCAAAAAATGAGAGAGAGGGCTAGATACATTGACCAATTAAAAAATGAAAAACTTACTAATAAGTCCCATATACAAAATTCAAAACTTATCTAATCTCAAAACAAAACACTTGCACCAATTAGTTCTATATATTTTTAATTGTTATAAAAAAATCTTTTTTTTAAAAAAAAAAATTTACAGACGCTGTTACATCCCACTGCCGTCGGACTTCCGTTAAACGGTCACCAGAGACTCGGCGGAATGTTCAACATCACTGGGAAGTCGCGGGAGTATCGTCGAAAGTTCACAAGAGTGTAGGAACGTCAATGAAAGTCGCCGAAATGTCCAGATCGTTCGCTGAACGTTAAGAACGTTATTGGAGACTCACCGGAATGTTCAGAATATTATCGGGAAAAAAAGAATAAATGGAGAAATTAGAGAGAAAAAACATAGCAAAATGTGCTGAATATTGATAAACTAAAAGGAAAAAAAAAATGTAACGACAAAAAACAATAACAATGGGAAAAAGCATATGTTATTTTTTAAATTTTTGTAGGGTTTAAGCAAATAATCTCTAATATTGATTAAACTGAAAAGCAAGCTTTGAATCTGTAACATGTTATAGTTTCAAAGCAAAAATCTATTAAGTATTTATCTTTATCAATCAAACTGGAAAATATGTTATGAAACTGCAAAATTTCACAGTTCTAAAGAATTTTATGAAACTATAAAATTTTATAGTTTTAAACCATGATTCATTCCAGCACCAAAAAAAAAAAAATTGAAACTGTAAAATTTTACAGTTTTCATCGCCTGTAACTAAAACTCGAAAACAACTTGTTCAGAACTTGAAAATTTTCTCCATTAAAACAGAAAAAGAGAAGTGTATAACAGATAAAATGTAGAAAAATTAAGAGATCGAAGGAGAGAGGCATATATAGAGAGAGGATTGTACTCTGATAACTATTTTTTGTTTAGATCTAACCGGATCTGATGTAGATCTTCTCAGATCTGATGTAGGTCTACAACAGATCTAAGTAGATCTACTTATCTTCTTCGTCGAAAATATATTTTCTTTACCGTCGGTGAGGGTGAAGTAAGGAGTTGACGGTCGGTGGTTGCTAGTGAATCCCAATCGATGGTAGTCATCAGTCGCCAGTGACTATATATTAGAAAGAGAAAGAGAAAAAGCAAGATGTGGTTACCATCGACGATCGTCGAAAATCACAAACAGCAAAAGAGACAGAGAAGAAGAATAACGTTATAGGACTTTTGAATATAAACTAAAAGTTATGGGACTAAATAGACTACACGTTTTTCAAAGAAGACTTCTTGGTAATTGGCCTTTAAATAATTTTTTTTTTGGTTACATTCTGAAAAAGATTCTAAAAAATTGTCAAATTTGTTACATTTAAAAAATTTGTCAAACTTCCCTCCAAAAGTCGTACCAAGATTCTGAAAACTTTATCCCATTTTCAAAATAACCAAACAAAAACTTAAAAATTTAAAAAAAAAAAGAAAAAAGGATTTAGAAAAATGGAACCAAACATGATGAATGTTATTTGCAATGTGCATTAAAACATAGGTCTCAATTCTTTTCGATAGCACATTAGTCCCAGAATATCTAGAGTGTTTGGTGTAACTTATTTGAATTGTTTATAATTTTTTTTTATTCTGAAAATTTATTTGATGTATCATCTACTTATAACTTAATATGTAGAAATAATTTAAATAAACTAAAAACATTAATTTAAAAAAAGTGTGGACTTGTAGGAATTGCCACATGTTTTATTTGATAATTCAAATTATTCATTGTATAGAAAAATATAATTGTCATACTTTTATTATTTGCTTGAATTTCTTGTTTACTCTTTTAAAGATGTAAACACTTATGCACTCATAAGGATAGTTCAGTCTTTTCACCTAATACAAAGATTTCCTTATTTTTTTAGTGCATATTAAACACATTTTGACTTCTTAATTTTTTTCCGTCAAAAAGCCAACTTCCCAAACAATGCCTTAATACTAACCAGATTTGCAATTACAGAATTGATGGAAAGGTTTAGACCAAAAAACATAGGCCTACAAAGATTTCATAGTGGGTGTTGTGGGCTTGGTCCGATTGGATTTGATTTAAATTGCACAATTTTATGGTCAAGCCCAACACAAGGCCCATACCGATTTCATTTAGTTTGTGTTGTAGCCCAAAATCTCATGTTCTTATTTCCTTCTTTTTTTTTTTCCGTTCTCATCATTATTTTCCAAGAAAACCCCTCTACTTGGTGTTGTGTATTCCAAAAAACCCCAAAACTTTCGCGAGAAAATAATATGAATTTCTTCAAATCCAAACAGTCTGAACCATCGTTACCGCAACCCAAACCCCCACACCTCCTCATCCAACAAGCACTCACCGACCTCCAAAACCACTTCTCCACCTTCCTCCACCACCACCACCACCACCACCATACCCACCATGTCCTCTTCAACCCCAACCCTTCTTGCATCAAAACCCATCTCGATTCCACCTTCTCAAACCTCTTCAACAACGCAAAACAAACAATTGAAGCCGGGTTTTCGAGCTTTCGCTTCGGTCCCAGTTCTGGTTCTCCTGCTATTAAGAACCCAGCATGGGCTCGAATTGCTGAGAAAATCAGTGAAAGTGGTCTTGCCATGTCTACAGAGGCTATCGAAGAGCGATTGGCCGGCGTGCCTGTGTACGCTCTGAGCAATGCTTCGCAGGAATTCGTGTTGATTTCGGGCGAAAACACTGAAAAATCACTTGGGTTGTTTTGTTTCAAGGAAGAGGATGCTAAGACTCTCCTTGAACAGATGACATCCATGGACCCCGGTATGCGACAAGGCTCGGAAGTGGTTGCCGTGGCTCTGAATAAGGTAGTCAAGTTTGGTTCTTTTTCTATTATGCTTGAAAGATTACCAGGAAAGAATGGTGGAGTCTAATGGGTGATTACTATTTTTCAGGTTTTTCAGCTTAAGCTTGATGGTGTGGCTTTTAGGTTGATACCAGAGTCGTCCCAAATCAAGAATGCACTTAGGGTGAGTCACTTGGCCATACATATTATGTCGGACAAATTGCACTGCTAGTCTCTACATTTTGCTGCGCGTGTCATTTTAGACCCTATAGTTTCAATTATGACACGTAATATTAGATTTTGTTTCAATTTGGTCCAATTGATAATGTCGCTAGAGTTTTTGACATAGAATTTTCATTGAATTGGTTGAGCTTACATCACTAAATTGATTAAGCTTACAATTTTGCTCCTAAAAAGATGACACATACTGCTCATGTGAGCATTTGCCATAAAAAAATGCTAAAAATTGGAAGCAATTGGACTAATTGGAGACAAAATCAAAAGTTCATGGTCAAATTGATCCAATTGAAATTAGGGTAAATTACCAATAGATCCTTTGGGACTTATTACCCATTAAGTATTGGTTTCTCTTGTTTTTATGAATAAATTTATAGTGATAAATTTATTAGTCAGGACCTGTAGGTAAATAAGTCTAGTTAATAAGACTGATTAGTAAGTGCCTCTTGAAATTATAGATATTTGTTTTAAATTAAGTTGAATGCAATAAGCTGTACAGCTTTTTGTTTTTTATTTTTTATTTTTATTTTTTATAAAAAAATCTATAATCTAAATAATCCAATTTAAAAGTTTTGCCAAACACCCTCAGTTAATGCAAGTCTGATAAATGTTGAGAAAGTGATATTGTTGTAGATAGTTTGGGAGTCATTACATAATTAATTATCAATAGAAGCCATATATATTGTTTCTTTTTTGATTGTTTGTTTGTTTGAAGGTTTAGGGCATAAGATAAATTTGCACTTCTGCTTTAAGTTTGGTATGATCAGTGTTGATAGCACAAATGTATTGCTGAATTAATGTGCTCTTGATCAAAGTTAGCCTTGCTCCTTTAGATAGATACTGTTTCTTCCACCCACTCAAGCCTCCTTTGAAACCTCTCGACCACTAAGTCCCAAATTGGCTTCACCCTAAAAGAAAATCTGGGAGGTAGATGCAAATATGAAGAAGGCAAATGATTAACTTCACAAACAAGAATCTTAGCCAGCACACCCCCACATGAAGGAACCTCCCCAACCGGAATAAAGTTGGCCTTTCCCAAATTTACTTTCAAACCTGAAACTGCCTCAAAGCATAGAAGCACACAATATAGATAACCTAACTGCTTTGTCTCAGACCAACAAAAAATAATGGTGTCATCTATATAGAGCAAGTGAGTTACTTTTAAAGGGGAACAAAACTGTCAAGCTGCCCCATTTTGTAGAATGTTGAAAACCATGATTTGTAAATATTGAAAGATTGAAATAATTGTGGGTTATATCATTGCCTGGCATATTCTCCATGTGAAAGTTATTTTTAGATGGAAATATACAGACATCATGCTACCAATTAACTCCTTAACTTTTATTTTTCACACCCAGAGTTAATGTGTTTTTTTTTTTTTATATTATGCTTATACGTAGGTGAGAGAAAAGGCTGGTGTTTCAGATGAGAGCTTCTCTGGGGTTCCTGTTTTCCAGGTTCTCTAACTTGAGTCTTTTATTTGCAGCATCATTATTACTTTGTTTATAGCCTTAATTTATACATCTTATGAAGCTCTATTTATAATTTTGGAATCTATACAAATTGATGGTTTAAAATTCAGGCATGAGGCTTTTTATTATTTTATTTTTTTATTAGGTTAGTTCATGAACTAAGTAATCAAACCGAGGATGTCTGGCGGTATATAATTTATCTGAAATATTGAGGCTTGACATTTTTTTTTCTTAAAGTCCTCTTGGGCTTTGTGCATTAGGACCAATCCCTTCTTTTTGTGAACTATGCTTGGAAAATAAGAGAGTTGATGTGGCTTGAACAGTTATTGAAATGCAAAACAAATTTTAACCTAGAGAAGCCATTGTAGGATTGATTGACATTCAAACAAATATGCAAAGAGATGAGGAATTGGGTGAAAATTCAGTAGCACAGAAGAGGTAGCGGGATTGAACATGTGGCACTCAGGAGGAGGATACTTTGAGACTTGGCATATTGTCAATTGTTGATTAAATAGTCTTCCTCACTTATTGTACTTCTTAATTTTTAGCGATTAGTGATCAATCCCTGTAGAAACTTGTAGGTTTATCATGCAAACAAGAAGGCTTCAAAAGAGAAGAGGAAAAAAAGGTTTCATAGTACCCCCATGGGTTGGATGAGTTGACAAGATGTTTGTTTAACATCCTCTATAGGGATGGCAACGGGGCGGGGCGGGGCGGGGCCGGGGATCACATTTCCTGTCCCCGATCCCCGACGGCAAAAATTTCTCCGTCCCCGGCCCCGATCCCCGACAGGAAACCTATGACCACCCCCACCCCCACCCTTGTCCCCTAACGGGGATCGGGTTTCCCTAACACTGAAAATTCTCCGGTCAAAAAAATAAAAATAAAAATAAAAAATATGGCAGATCAACAACATCATCAACAGATCAACATCATACATCAACAGGGAGATGGGAAAGGCGTCAGAGTTCGGCAGGGAAGGGAAAGGGCGTCGCCGTGATGTCCTTGAGCAGGGAGATTGGCGACGGTGAGATCGGAAAGATCAGTAAGATCGGCGAGATGAGAGGAAGGAGAAGACGTCGGAGGAGCCGCCGCCGCCACCACCATCGGTGAGATCGGAGATCGGCGAGATGGGAGGAGGGAGAGGACAGCTTTGTTTTTGTGTGTGAGGAGCATCTGCAGAGACAGAGAGAGAGTTGTTTTTGTGTGTGAGGGAGGAGCACTTGCAGAGAGAGAGAGAGGCAAGAGAGCTTTTTTGTGTCTGTGTGTGAGTGTTTGTTCATCCAAACCGTACACATACACATATATTATATATTTAAATAGGGGCAAAATAGTAATTTCATGTCGGGGGGAAGCAGGACGGGGATTGGGGCCGGGGCCGGGGCCGGGACTGAAACATGTATATCCCCGTCCCCGGCACGAATATCATCGGGGATTCAATTTTTAATACCATCCCCGGCCCGTCGGGGGTATTTTTCGGGAAGTAACCGCTCAATTCGGAGTTGGGGGATCAGGTCCCCGTCTAGTCGGGTTCCGATTGCCATCTCTAATCCTCTAGGCCCCAAGTTGAAATTCCATCCCTGAGGTACCCACTTGGGCTTGCTAGGTATGCTTGTCTTATGGGGTCAATGCATGTTTCCAGTGTTTACATCGCAGCCATGAGTCCAATGTGGCAAGTTGTTGAGGGCACACGAATATCATCGGGGATTCAATTTTTAATACCATCCCCGGCCCGTCGGGGGTATTTTTCGGGAAATAACCGCTCAATTCGGAGTTGGGGGATCGGGTCCCCGTCTAGTCGGGTTCCGATTGCCATCTCTAATCCTCTAGGCCCCAAGTTGAAATTCCATCCCTGAGGTACCCACTTGGGCTTGCTAGATATGCTTGTCTTATGGGGTCAATGCATGTTTCCAGTGTTCACGTCGCAGCCATGAGTCCAATGTGGCAAGTTGTTGGGGGCAATTCCTGTTCAAAAAAAAAAAAAAAAAAGGTTTCATGGTAGTGGAGATTGATATCTTATTCTTGATTTCTTTGGGGATTGTTCTTTAGTTGCAATTCTTTAGTCATCTATATGATCATCTGACTGGTTATGAAACAGGTTTTTTAGTTTCTTACATCTTAGTTATGAAGGTATTAAGATTAAGATGTTTATATAAAACTGTTTGTGTTATACAAAAGAACTACTGCTGATGCATAAAGTGGGAATGGGTGGCGCTAATACCACAACGCTTTTGTTTGGAGCCATGAACATTTCATATGTTGTTTCCATATTGCCCCTCTTTTTATACCAGATACACTTTTCGTCTCTGTCTCTCTCTCTCTTCCTTTCCCTCTCTCTTTACACCATGGCCTCTCCGCACCATCACTTTCTCTTCCATTGTTGGTTTCCCTCTTGTTAAAATTGATGTATTATTGATTGATTATGTTGTTGAATGTGATAAATTACAAATGGTGAGGGGCTCCTTATATAGGAGAGGTAGTAGGTGAAGTGGGAGGAGTAGGTGTAGTAGGTGGTGGTAGGTGTAGTAGGTGGAGTAGGTGATGGTAGGTTTTAACACCTCTTTACTGCCATTACTCTAGCCATACCTCCCCGCACTACCACCTACATGACTACACTTCCCCAAGATCCAAATCGTACCCATGACCACGCCATCACCACCACTGTGTCCTTCACCTCAACCACAAACACCCACTCCATCCCTTGATCTGACTTGCCTCCAACAATGACAAGTAGAAGGCCATGCAAATTGCTTTCAGTCTAATACAAGATATGGCCTAGATAGAGCAAAATTGTGACAGATTATTCACGGTGCGTATTCAAATATTTGAGTTGAAGCTTTCTTAGATTAGTATGAAAATTTGATTGTGTTATGATATATGAAGGGTACAAAGAGTTCAAAAATTGATAGAGATCTTGACAACCTTGAACCTTGTTTAAATGCCGTACTTGGTTTCCTCAATTGCCTTTTCTCGTCACTTATAAATTCAGGAACTAGAATGATTTTGAGATGATATGTCCTTACAAAGATCTATGTCCTATGTTTCTATAGACTTAAAATTTTCCTCTCATGTACTTTAAACATGCATTGAAAGAAGAAGATAATAAGCCCATCTTGTATATTTTCAACTTGATGATGTCCTTGTTAAGAAAGTAATGTACAATGTGATGGGACTTGATAAACAATAAAAGCTCGAGGTAGTACTAGAAGTGGGATCATAGTAAATGCGCATAATCAGACAGAACTTAAAGTTCACACCTAGTGTACAATGCCACTTTATAGCAGGGTTTGGGAGAGGCAATAGATATAGGCAGCTTTACTTTTGATTTTCCTAGATAAGTATTGTGACTCGCACCCGAGCTACAATGCCTGTGGTGAATGAACAATTGTCATCGTCTCATGTTACGACCTCTACAATCAGATCAAATATCTTCTTTCTAAATGCGCAGTTTGCATAACCCATTTGCAATAAGGGTCTCGTGGACTTAATCTCACTTCAACTGGTCCAAACTTTCAGAGTCTGTTTGCATACATGTTATTATGTGTTTATTTATTTATTTTTTTGTAGTGCTATTAGCACTCCAATTATTTATAATTGCACTCCATATTTTTTTTTTGGGGGTATCAAAATTTACTCATGACACCATACCCAATACACACTTAATGACAAAATTTGGAGTGCAATTATGGGAGTGTTTGGTGGAGATTTTGGAAGCAACTTATAGCTTATTTTAATATGGGAGTTTGTGCAGACTGTTTGGTGCAGTTTTTGCTTATAACTTATTAGGGAGAAATAGCTTAAATAAGCTGAAAAAAACTGATTTTTTCATAAGTTGGGGTGAGGGATGCTTTTAGTTGTTGCTTTCTAATTATCAACTTTTAGCTTAAAATAATCTCCACCAAAGCAAACGCCCATATATCCTAGAAGTAGCTGAGCCTCTTTGGTGACACTGGCCCATTGCATGAGCCCAAGGACTTTTCAATGATGGACTATGAAGCTTAGGACATAGAATTGACTGTTCTGAGGATTTGGGTGAAATTTGTGAATATGCCAATGTTTGGGCTATGGTTGAAAAAAGTCATTAGCTGGGTTTACTTAATTGTTGCCAATTCTTGCAACCAAGTCTTCCGACTGACTGAGTGAATTAATTTGTGGACAAAGTAGCATCTGCCTTTTGCGTCTCCCAGTCCAATGCTATGAATCTTGTTAAACATCTTTGATTTGCAGTCAAGGAGCTTGATTCTGAGGAGCCAAGATAAGAGATACCGGCCTGTTTTTTTCAGGAAGGTTAGTTGAGAAGGGAGTGATCTTGACACGCAATATTTTTATATATTTATTTATTTATATTTTTCGTGATGGAAAGATACCCCAGGCCCTTTGGACCCCCTATAGGGAGTTCAACTCTGGCTGAACAAGGGCGGCTCCTAGCCGTCGCACTGGGTTAGTCTAATCACGTGCTCTATTGTACCCATGAATTATGTAGGAGGACCTGGAAAATTCGCTATTGAGAGCTTCCCGCCAGCAGAAGCAATTGAATCCTGCCTTCAGAGAGGGTGATATTCAAGTAAGAGGTTTTTTTGGATCTTCCTGAGTTGGTGCAACTTACTGTTTCATGACACACCATTTGTACTCCCATCTTGTAGGTTGCTGTTCTTGAGGAGATAATACAAGGAATGAAGGTAAGGAACTTCTATATATTTCTCCGTCTTTTACTTTATTTAATTACCAAGAAGATGGGGACTATGAAAGCAAGGAATGGTCTGTTTTTTTCTTTTTCCCTTCCCCGTATCAATTTGAGCATTATTGAAATTTACACAGGATAGTAAAATGACGATGTGGGATGATGTTGTTTTCATTCCTCCTGGTTTTGATGTTTCAACGAATCCCTTCCAAAAATAGGTAATTTCATTCACCGACTTAGCTTAATGTTATGGCTATTTTATTGGTTTGCCTTTCTTCCCATTAGCTTATAATATCATACAGATAAAGCAATTAACCACTGGGGATGGGACTGGAAAGTGAACACCAAGGATGAGATTCTCGTGTGCGCGTAACTGGTCAATCCAAATGCGATGTACCATCCCATATCATCTCACAGATTAATTATTTTTTTTTGGGTGCTGATGTGAGAATTGTTTCAGTACGTGTTATATCCTTTGTTGGTTTGGTTGAAATCGTATGTAGGCTTTATGATTTAATGGGACAATTTTGGCTTGTGGATTCAAATTCAGCTGATGAAAAATGTTAAATGAAAAAAAAAAAAAAAACTGCAGGTGTTTTTCTTCTCGTTTGAGCTGATCTGTCAAATCGTTTTAGATTACGCTATGTTTGTCGTATGTTGAACTTTGTTGTGGAATTGTAGAAATTGTGGAAATCCAGAACAGATATGTTAACTGTTTGTAAAATGAAAAGTTCATGCTGACACTGTTATTTTCATAACTTGCAGTGACAGTTTTCTTTAAACTAGCATTAGAGATCATGAAATGCACCAAGGATGGTGTTTGCATTGTTTTTAAAATTTCCTCTTCCTTTTAGCCTGTGTATTTCTGGAGGAAGAAGAAATGGAAATCGTTTTCATTTTTATGCAAAAATAGTTTTCAGAAACAAAACAATAGAAAGTTCCAAAATACCTGTTGGGCTTTTTTCTACAACAAAATTTGTCTTCCATTATGGGCTTTTTGAATTAAATATTTGTCTTCCTACTTGGATTTGGCAGCAGAATATTTAATAGTTTATTTGTGTTTATTATTATAATTTTCTTAATAATAATTAGTAAAAGTAATATTCTCTTCTTTGTTTAGTATTTATCTACAATTAATTTAACTCCGGCCGCCTTTTGCATATAATTTATCCACTTACTTTAATCTAAAAATAAATTCCCCTCTTGGGGTCCATTTTATTATGCTTCTCATAACTTAATGGTCACCAATTTAGATGCAATCCTGTAAACTTTTATGACTGAATTTTAAATGTGTTTTCCAACAACTCAAGATGATGCCTTTGATGCCCATTGTTTACCCACCAAAATTGGTGGGGAATTGTTATTCCTATTTCTATTTCTTTTTAAATGTTCAAAATTTTGTATGATTTGATTTCCAATGCCTATATAAAGAAATTATTTAAAAATACATTTATGAAGAAGTGGAGTGAAAAATTAGTAGATTAATGCCAAAGATGCTAATGATGCCCACAACCATCAATCTAATTCTTTGAGCTTGTTGTGGGGCTCATTACTGCACCCATATTGGTAGAACCATACCCAATTATTGAATCTAGTTAAATTAATCCAAAGCCTATTTGAAAAAATTACTCAAATATTAGTATTGTGTAGAGAAAAGTATGCTTCTTTTTTTTCATTGAAAATTCCTACTCTAGTCTAATCTAAGGTGAAGGGGAAGGAGATGTTGGGATTGAACCTTGTTAGGGAAGGGAATAGGGCAGGAGGGGTTTGTAGTGCCCCTCTTTCTCCCCAAATCATGTTGGGGCAGGGCAAATTTAGGAATGGTAGTGTTGTTGGAAATGGTAGAAAAATTTTGGGTAAAATTAGAATTTTTTCTCAAGTTTGGTCTATTTTTTAAGTGGGCCTTGAGTGTCGATTTACTCGGGTCAAAGTGGTAACGCGTTCTATGCCGCGTTGTGATTCACGTGGTATATTTGGTTACCCAAAATCATTACCGAGTGAATGAGAAATTGAAGGCAAAGTGTGCTCCATGGAAATAGAGTTTTGGTGGAAATTCCTTAAGGTTGTAAATTGGCTTGTCCCACATTGATTTGGTGGGAAGTTTTGAAAGGGTTTATAAGGCTTGGGTGAGATACTTGGGGTGTGCCCCAAGAGGTACCCAAGTGTTTTAAAGGGAGAGGTTATGGGCAAAATGGGCTAGACCTATTGGACCCAAAAATCACCACACACGCGTGTGTGGTTGGGTTGGGCTTCTAATCTTTTTGGGCCAAAAATATTTGAATTTAATTTTATTTTTTGGTAAAATAAAATCCAGAATTCAAATTAAACTGATTTGGATTTTCTGTACATCCAAACAGGGCCCTTCCCGTTTTCAAACAGAAATAAACTAGTTTGGAATTAATGCACATCCAAACAGAGCCCTTCCCGTTTTTTATCTGTTTGAATTATTAACCCAACAAATTCAAATATGTTTAAATTTGAAACTAACAGGTTTCATACCTGTTCAATTCAAAACCAAGAGCCACCTTTACATCTATAAATAGACTAGCCTCCCATTTGGATTTCACTCGAATTTTTGTACTCCATCCTCTACTTTAAATCTTTGTATTTTGCTGCATTTTATTTCTAAAAAAAAGAGTGTAAACACTTTGTGTGTTCAACGGACGATTAAATTGTAGTGCTACTTTTATTCGTTGATAAGATCATTTTATCCTGGGAGATAGACGTGCAAATTCTGAAAGCACCGTGGAGAGGACGAATCTGTCTTAAGGACACAGTGTCAAACACTAGACTTGATCAGAAAATAATTCGAACAGATTAAATCAAGTAAGTTATTCAATTTATTTTCAGTGTTATTTTTATTAAAATCAGATTTAAATTTTGTTTTTGTAACAAAATAAAATCTGTTTTTATTTATTTGTTTTTATTTCAAGTTTGATTTTTGTAATCAAACAAATTCTCTCATTTTCTTTATTTCTTTAAATTCTAATTGTTGTTGTGTACACAATAGCAGTACGTGTTATATCCTTTGTTGGTTTGGTTGAAATCGTATGTAGGCTTTATGATTTAATGGGACAATTTTGGCTTGTGGATTCAAATTCAGCTGATGAAAAATGTTAAGAAAAAAAAAAAAAAAAAAAACTGCAGGTGTTTTTCTTCTCGTTTGAGCTGATCTGTCAAATCGTTTTAGATTACGCTATGTTTGTCGTATGTTGAACTTTGTTGTGGAATTGTAGAAATTGTGGAAATCCAGAACAGATATGTTAACTGTTTGTAAAATGAAAAGTTCATGCTGACACTGTTATTTTCATAACTTGCAGTGACAGTTTTCTTTAAACTAGCATTAGAGATCATGAAATGCACCAAGGATGGTGTTTGCATTGTTTTTAAAATTTCCTCTTCCTTTTAGCCTGTGTATTTCTGGAGGAAGAAGAAATGGAAATCGTTTTCATTTTTATGCAAAAATAGTTCTCAGAAACAAAACAATAGAAAGTTCCAAAATACCTGTTGGGCTTTTTTCTACAACAAAATTTGTCTTCCATTATGGGCTTTTTGAATTAAATATTTGTCTTCCTACTTGGATTTGGCAGCAGAATATTTAATAGTTTATTTGTGTTTATTATTATAATTTTCTTAATAATAATTAGTAAAAGTAATATTCTCTTCTTTGTTTAGTATTTATCTACAATTAATTTAACTCCGGCCGCCTTTTGCATATAATTTATCCACTTACTTTAATCTAAAAATAAATTCCCCTCTTGGGGTCCATTTTATTATGCTTCTCATAACTTAATGGTCACCAATTTAGATGCAATCCTGTAAACTTTTATGACTGAATTTTAAATGTGTTTTCCAACAACTCAAGATGATGCCTTTGATGCCCATTGTTTACCCACCAAAATTGGTGGGGAATTGTTATTCCTATTTCTATTTCTTTTTAAATGTTCAAAATTTTGTATGATTTGATTTCCAATGCCTATATAAAGAAATTATTTAAAAATACATTTATGAAGAAGTGGAGTGAAAAATTAGTAGATTAATGCCAAAGATGCTAATGATGCCCACAACCATCAATCTAATTCTTTGAGCTTGTTGTGGGGCTCATTACTGCACCCATATTGGTAGAACCATACCCAATTATTGAATCTAGTTAAATTAATCCAAAGCCTATTTGAAAAAATTACTCAAATATTAGTATTGTGTAGAGAAAAGTATGCTTCTTTTCTTTCATTGAAAATTCCTACTCTAGTCTAATCTAATAAGGTGAAGGGGAAGGAGATGTTGGGATTGAACCTTGTTAGGGATGGGAATAGGGCAGGAGGGGTTTGTAGTGCCCCTCTTTCTCCCCAAATCATGTTGGGGCAGGGCAAATTTAGGAATGGTAGTACTAATAAAAGTAAGAGATGATATGATATATCAGGTATAATAATTGATAAGAGGTATAATAATTGATAATTGATAAGAGGTATAATAATTGATAAGAGCTAACAATTAAAAGATGTAAGATGATAGATAAGAAAGTAAAAATGAGTGTTAAGTGAAATATTTTGATGATTTAGTTTTACTGTATTTAAAATAATTAAATTATATATATATATATATATATATTACATACATGGAAGAAATTTAATAAATATAATTAAGGTATGGACAAAGTATGTTCCATCTTGCTTTCCTTATTAGGCCAAGAAAAAACCATGCAAATCAGAATGAGACGGGAAAAAATTAACATCCCTAAACCGCATCCATGAGCTAAAATATTAAGGGATAGTTTAAGGGGTGTTTGATAACATGATTCAGCATTTAAAATTGAATTGATTAAGTGATAATTAATTAAGTTCGTTTGATAACTATAATTGATATCATGAATTGATTAAGTGATAATTAATTAAGTTTGTTTGATAACTATAATTGATATCACTTAAAAATTAAGTACTTCTTAAAATATAAACTTAAATTTAAGAAAATTTTAAATCATATAAAACTTATTTAATTTTAACTGAATTTATAAATACTAAACAAAACTATCAATATATACTATTATAAACTCACCACCACTACCACCATCACCATCATGCCACTGTCACCATTATTACCACTACCACCACCACCACCATCACTACCGCCACCACCACTATTACAATCACCACCACCATTATGCCACCACCATTACCATCACTACCATTATGCCATTGCCACTATTACCACTACCACTACACTACTACTATTACTACCACTACTACTACCACCACCACCATGCCAGCGCCGTTGCTACTACTGCTATCATCTTCATCACTATTGTCACTATTGTCATTATTGTTATAAACACCATCATCATTTACTACTACTACTATCGCTACCACCACGACCATGCTACTATCACTACCGCCGCCACCACCACCACTATGCCACTGCCACTGCCACTGCCACTACCACCACCATTGTCACAATAAAAAAATTAAAATATATAATTTAAAAATAATAAATTTTAAATTTGATTTTATACATATCAAACAACTTATTTTTAATTCAGTATTTAAATTTTATCAAACAATTTTTTAACTTAAAAAATTCAGTTTTCAATACTTAATTTTTAGTCTTCAATTTTCAAT